AGCTGTTTCGGCGCGAACGCGCTCTTAAATCCTGCAGGAGGAACGGCAGAGATGCGAGAGAGCAGCAAAACGAGCAGGAAGCTGAAAGAGCAGAACGCGGCGAGAAGGAAAAAGACGAATGTACACCACGCGCGCGCATCGTGGTTTTTCAATCGGGTTTCGGCAAGTTCTTTAATTCGTCGTGGATAACGCCTCACCCTCCCGTGGGCTCGCACACGCTCGCGAGTTTCTGCATTTGCATTCTCGATGCACTCGCGCACACACGCACGCCGACAAGTAGACAGCGGGCATCGAATGTTTAATTCAAGATACGCGAGAGACGGAGCCGGTGCGTGAGAATGAGGGAGAACGTTACGTGCGTGCGGAAGCACGTAAGAGAGACGAAACGAGCGGGAGAGAGCGTAGGGTAGCAATTGATGGGACAGGGTGGCGCGTTTGTTGAGCTAATTACTGTAAGGCGAGGCGCTTACTCGCGCCGCTACATACAAACGGCATTAAAGGTGGTGGTCATCAATCCCCGGTAAGGCCGCTTTGCCCGCCCGGCGAGTCGGCCCTTCGCCTTGCCTCGGAGGACTCTTCTGTTCTCACGTCCTTCGGTTTTCTCCCCTCGCGTTTTCTTGAGACGCGACGTGAAGAAAAACGCGACCGAATCAATACATGAATTAGACCTTAATCGAATAATAAACTTTCATAAATAAACAAATGCTTTTTAACTTATCAAAATTTACATATAAAAGATAAATGAATAAAAACCAACTTTGTCACGTGGTTTAAAAATAAATAAATTTAGCCAGTGCTATCTGAAAACACTTTATGAAAAAATATTATTTTATGCGATTTTACTCGGTCAGAAATAACATATTGAGGAAGTACGCACTTATTGGTAAGTGCTAATTTAAATACACATCTATTTTAGTATTTGAATCTAGTCAGAATCGAGATCTTATAATTAAAGTAATATATACAACACCACCAATAATAATTGTTACATTTGCGCAGATTTGAATACTTCTCGCATAGCTTGATTCGATAAATGACTTTTGCGAGATGTGAATAGCGCGCGTTTAATTTTAACCAGCTTCTACGATGTCTGCAATCTTTCCTCGAGGAAGTGGGCATCAATATTTTTGACGCTACGGTAATTAATACCGTTGTTTAATTGTATAAACTACACCAAGGAAAGAGGATGCGCATTTATTTTGCATTTGTTTAACGTCAAAATGGATTATTATTGGTGTTACAACCTGATAGGTATGCGTTGCTGCGGGATACAAATGATGCAATATTAATTGGTCGAGTCTGTCGATTTCTATCCAGCTACACATGCACTAGATTAAACAAATTAATATCCCTCCATGTAGTTAATCGTTTCCTAGCTTAGTTTGTAGTTACTTGTAATTATCTCGCACATTATGTGTAAGTATAAAACATATTATGTCATTAATATCATTTTAACATGTTGTTGAAATATAAAACGACATATTTTAACTTAAACACGTTTAAATTATTGTTAAACATTTGTTCAATAAATTTATTAAATTTCACTCAAATTGGAACACATGACGGTGTGCAAATAATCGTGTCTCGCGTTCGTGAGTCGAATAAATATATCATTAACAATGATTCATTAAACTTTCGGTTCTCGCAATCTGCGGGACCAAGCGTTGCTTGATAATTTTCGAAGTCTCTACCTCAAGAAAGAACTTCATTAACCAACGTCGGCGCTCCGGGATGAGGCTCGTTCGAAAACTGGTGCGTACATCATCGCGTCATTGGTGTGGGTGAACACGGGATCCGGTACCACTCGCCGCGGGCGAGTTGCCCGCGAGGGTGTCGCGGTGTTATAAGGCCCGGAGCGTTTCGAACCAGCGGCGCGGCGATACGACGCGGCATAAATAATAGCAGCTGATAATTAAGACGGCGTTTCGGCGCGAGGCCGACACCCGCTGTCTTCCTCGCGACATGACATCGCGTGTAGAGACACACGAGGCCGCATCCACGAATAAGGCAAGATACACGTCTCGGAGTTGCGACCACGATGGAATTCCAGCGATTCGCGCGGGGGTGCGGGCTTCGTGTATATCAGTACGAGTTCACGGGCTTTGTGTCCGTTTTCTCGAGGAAGAAGAAAGCGACAACGCGATGAATACGCGAGGAAGTCGAAGAAGGAGAGAGCGGGAAAAATAAAAAAAAGATGCAGAGAAGAATCGCGCCATGTGCGAGAGTCTTCGCCGCGGTAGAAAGTATTGCGTGGATTCATCTGGATAAACCGCGGCGCGATCAATCACCCCGGTGATTAACTGCGCTACCTACGGAATCGAAATCGCTCTGTAATTTATGGCGGTTTTTCTAGATAAGATATATAAAGGACGCGTCAAGACTGTGTGACACAGGTGTTCATGTAGAAAGTGCGCTCGTTATTAAACAAAATAACGCGCGATCGTATAAACGATTTCTCAAAATGTGTATAACACGTGTCTCGAACGTTTGGCTATGACACTATAATATATGATAGAAACGTGTTAGTCAACTAGCTCGAACAGATCAACGTCACAAAACAAATTATCGATGAAGAATAATATCTCAATTATCTCGAGTAATACTTTAATAAAGAAACACGATTATGTTTTAAATAAAATGTCATCCGAAATTTTGTTCTCTTCTAAAAAATTAAACGAGAGGAGAAAAAGGATTCAGTTTTTCGCGATCAAACGAGACAAGGACGGGGGTTAACTATCGCACGAGCGCTCGGGTGAGCACTATTGTGAATGCGCGGCTCCCGACGCCATCGATATAACTTTCCAAGTGTAATTGAGGGAATAAAGTCCGCGAAATTTCGCGAGCCACGACGCTGGCGAGGATCGTAAAGAGGATGAGCATGTCCCGGCGTAACCTGAGGCTGCAGAAGGGGCTGCAGAAACGCGACGAGGACACGTCGGGAAATGAAAACGAGGAGCGTCCCGGCGACGTCCTACCAACCCCACGGGGAGCCGGCACGTTATATCTTCATTAAGCAGTATACCTAACCGCCCTGTCGCGACTTCTTAGCACTTCGCAGCTCGCGCTAATTCCACGTTACTATTTCTTTCTACATATCGGTTTCTTCGTTCCGCGTGACGCAATTGCGTAAAGATGTCCGACGAACGAGCGGAGACCGTCCTTTTTCATGTTTAATCGCAACGACGACTATATCTTTTTAAGACGTTTTTTCTAGCAAATTTAATACTTTATTTACCGCTATTAATATCTTCCGCAAAAATACAAGAGATGTTCTCTTCCATGAGCGCAACATGTCAGAAAAGAAAACAATCAAAAAGTTAACTCCGACAGATCCCTGCGTAAATCTGCTCCAATTAGGCGCCATAAAAGGATCAAAAGTAGAACGTATAAAAAAATGTATCCCCTAAAATCGTGTTTTTTACAGCCAATCTTGAGCTATTATTGAGCCGGACAATTTCTCGATATTTCTCAACGAAAGAGAAGGCAACGGTGTGAGAGAAGCCTCCTTAAGATTTAACCGCGACCCTTTGTCCGACGAGTAACGCCCGCGAGTTTCAGGGCCGTGTCGACACCGAAGGGTCTCCCTCTTCACGGCATGGCCGGGTCCATCCGATTGCAAAGAAAATTCCAGGTCCCCGAATCGCCGTAAGATCAGGACACATCGTTATAGGTTCGCGCACTCCTTCGTTCGTCTCGTTCGCTCTCGGTATCGGGACGGAGGGCCCAGTCCAGAAAGAAGACGCGGTCGTAAATATTCGGACGCCAAATAATGCCGGTTCTCTGCAGCAAGCAAGAGAGCAAGCGACCACGACCGACTGCCGCCCGACTGCCGTAATGAAGGACATCCTCGTTAATTAGTCAATAAATTATCCTTCACGCTCACGACGCCCGTGGTCGACCACCTCTCTCCCTCTCCCTCCTTTCCCGTTTGCTCGCCTCGTCCGGGAGCGCTCGAAAGGACCCGCATACTTTACGACACCTATCTCGCGCGACAGCACGATGCATTTCTCACAATCAGCAGCCCCGAAGACGGAAAACGCGTCTTGAGAGAGACGATCTATGAGGTGGTCCACCGCGTCTCTCGAATCTCCGCTGTCGGCTCGCCTCATGTTAAATTCCTCCCGAGGCTTCCTGGCGTCTCGCGGGAATGCGAGCTGTCTGATACCGAGGTTGACGGTCAATCACGACAAAAATAGATCCTCGAGAGACGAGAATCGAGCGCGAACCTGTTTCGACAAAAGTGTTCGAATGGATGGCAATAACGTCAAAGAAAAATCCAAGCAAGAAACGGTATATTGTTAAGAATTAAAAATGAAGTAAAAACATTTTATGTGTTTGTGAAGTGATTTACGGATTTACGGATAATTGAAAACTCTATTCAATTTTACGTGCCTACGTCTACATCCATACGGAGTCTCCTTGAAAAGGTGTAATTGCATTTAGCTTCAAGTTTTACGTTTACTTATGGTAACACGCACGTGCTGCATCACGCAGAGATAGACAGCAGTGGTATACTCGTAATGTTTTGCTCCGTGCACCAAGCGTAAAGATTCGATTCTATACGTGTCCAAGTTACATATCGTGCCAAGTGATCATACATCACTCTAACTACTTCCTGGTACAATTCTATGCCGAGCTCACGCGGCCGCGAGGGACGATGCTTCTCTTCCAAGAAATAGACGTAGAAGAACCGATGCAAACGTATATGATGCTGTGATGTATTAATGATTTGAATTTAGATGTGTATGTGTTTTTTTTAGTCCTCTATATTACAAAATCGTCGAATACTTTAGAATCAAGAATTTTATGAGAGACAAGACTATTTCCTTCAATTTATCTGCATATTTTATTGCCTTGTTTGAAAAAAAAATACTGCACCGGTTTTATTTTATATTAACAAAAATTAAATTCCGTGATCGATCAAGTGCACGGCCTTGCTAATAAATACACGCATTTAATTTATTAATTTCAATATATATTTATTATAGTAATCCGTTTACAATAGATGTACATGTATGTTTAATATTCTCACATGTATAATATATGTTTAACGTTCTTAAACCGAAGTCTCACGGTACGTAACTTGTGGCTTTGGCTTGCGAAAAAAATGAACGAAAGAACGAAACTAATTGCATTTGCAGCAACATATTTTTTCTCAAAGGGAACATTAATAAAAAGTAAAAGCAATATAACAAGCAAAAGAAAACGCATAACGGTGATTATTTTGTAACAAACATCGACATAAACAATAGTTCACGATTTTAGATGAGTAGACAACCGGTGGGAAAGACAAACCAAACATGTGTGACGAGCCTCAGAGCACCGTGAGACTTTGGCTTTACATAATTTGTTTGATTCGTTGGACACTTGTAAAAAAATAGCTTATAAATAAACAGCTTATATCAATATTTGGTACTTTTTGGTTAATTGGCACGTTGACATTATGAACATTGTTGATAATGGTAGACGTAACGATTCGCTTCAAATGGCGATTGAAACATCTCCGAGTGTGCTTTCAACAAATGAGCGCAGAGTTCCTTGGCAAAATTTGTTTCGAACGGATTCGTCGTTCTTTTGTCACAAAGATTACATTCGTATACCGTCATACCTGGATGCAAATTTGTACATAATATATGCTTCCGGAGATTTTCCTGTAAAAAAGAAAAAATTTATAATCTTCATTTAAATATCCATTATAATTTTTCGTAACGCCGTCTGTTAGAACAAGCGAATAAAAATCTCCACTTGTTCTCTCAGCAGCTAACGCAATTGATGGCCGATCAGTAATCGATATTCTCATATTTCTAACGGCTTTTATTAGACAGTCAAGCACGTTTTACGAGCGTACACTCGATCGCTTTACGCGACTCTCCAATTCCTATCGAGTACCGCAAATGGATCTATATATGATGTTCACGCGTTGCTATTAAAATTTCATTTCAGCTAAAAGCTTATACAAAGAAACCTTTCACCGCGATTTCAAGCGTAAAGAACGAAATCTCTGCGCCGCGCCGCGCCTCACGCCAACTCGAATCTCGAGCTTCTCTGTTTGTAGTCGTTCGACAGTAGATGTATCCAGTGGTGACCGGGGAATCGGTTCGCCGCAAAACCGGACGCTCGCGTTTATTGGCTACGCCGTTGGCGCATTTAAAGGCGCTTTACCCTCTCGAGCTAAGTAGCCGGCTGTAGTCGTAAACATCTTTCTACCAGGCGGGCTTATACGAGCCGTTGATGGCAACGGCAACATCAAATTTAATTTCCCATAAGTAAATCTTTTCGCGGGCAGCGCTTCGTGACGTGCACAGATTAAGCCTCGTTCACACCGCCATGGGCGGTCGCGAGATTTTTATAGCGGATCCCACGGATCGTAGTAACATGGAACAGTGTTGTCACGCAAATCTGCTATGAGCGTTTCGTTTAAGCCAACCGATTCGGACTTTCATAAGTGTAATTACTTTTATATTGAAAAACTAGAAGTAGTATCACAAGTGCCGAGAAAGAAAACATTGTAATTGCAACATATACATCCCGATGGATGTACAAAAATCGTCGAGAATAGCGAACAAATATCCTCAGCAAGTGGATCGTAAAACTGCGGAGAGAAACGAGGAGACTTTAACCCAGATCAACGTTTTATCGAAGATCTTTTGATCCGTTCGCTATTTCCCTTTTTGTTTTTTTCATTGCATCAAATATTTTTTGAAACAAATAAACTTTTCAGACAAGTGTCTCGTCATAAAATTGCGCCGACCAGCAATAAAATGTTAATATCATTCTTTAATTTTATATCAACTCGAGATTTGTCGATCGCGGAATGTACATTCGCGAAGAGCACGAAAGATTAAAACTTGCGGAGATAAGCAGAGATTGCACTTGAGTCACGCAAGACATTTACGTAATAAGAGCGTCCAGTATTTTACATGTGTATCAAACTATTAGAATTAAATATAAGTTGAAAAAGAAACGTTAATTAAACTGAAAAAACTTTTATTATTAATTTTTTATATTTTTATATAAAATTTTTATTATTAAAAATGCGAGAGACATGTAGTATTTGTTTTCATATTTATTTATTATTACGTTTTGACTTCTATCAAAACGGGAGAAGTAGGGAGTGACTTTTCAATGACTGTCGACGAACGATGCAGGAAACAGGACGCAAGTTTCGGATTCAGCGTTAACCGGTGTCAGCTTGAGGAGTTGCCACCCTCGAGGAAAGTTTTCCAAGTGTCGATGATGGCTATCCGGAGCGTAAGGGAGAGACGGCTTCGAAGCAAGGGCGGAAGTGTTGGTCGGCAAAAAGAGGCGTGTAACCGTCCGAGGTAAATCATAACGTGGAGGGAAGAAGGAAGGAAGGAAGGAAAGAAAGTGGCGCGCGTAATCTCGTCGACGCAAGGCGAGCCGTCTGCTCTACGTGGAAGAGAATTCCCTCGTTAAATCGTCCCGTGCGCTGCTTGCACGTTTCTTCCTTATTAAAGTATCGTGCAAACAGCTATCATCAGGCCCTAATATTTCCCATAGTCACGACGCGTCTCTCCCAATAGATTACTTTTTCCATCTCCGTACAAATGTCATCGGCAATTTATCGATATTAGAAAACGAATAATCAAACAACGGCAGTTTTACAAACAGAAAGAAAACTTAACTTTTTCAGTAAAAAATTAAAAAGTTATTTTATAGTTAAAAATTTTACACGAAACACACACATATATGATCGATGCTTTCGCGAACACGACTGAGAACCACTGGAATGAGTTTATGTCGCTATCAAAGAGACACGGAGACCTCGTATGCGAGTCGCATCCCAACTCAAGCTTCAAAGGACATTAGCATACCGGCCGCTCAGTATGACTGGGCTGTGCGTGTGTGGGCATCCAGTGAGCACAATTAACTCGTTATCTTATCGCGCCTCGGCGGCAGCAGAGGCGGCGGCGCGGTCCAAACGTTAAGGCGTACTTTGCTTAATTTACGCCACAGAATCACCGGCGGGATAAAAATTGGACTACGTCGGGATTACGGAGAATCAACCTTAGGACACCGCCACTCTACTAAGGGGAGCAAACTTTCGAGTCCGGATGACATGCATACATAAACATCGGACTTGTAATGTGCACGATATAAAATCTCGTATATGTATGCAAACGAATGACGTGTGTGTGTGTTATTGATTAAAATTTACTAAAATTAAAAGTACAATTTCGCGATTTTTATCTCACTAACGTATAAAATCGTACAAAAGGAATATCTAAAACTGTCACTTACCGAAATGTTACAAGCGTAGTCACAAAATCGACACTTGTATTTTTTCTGAACCTCGTGCGTCCGCAAGTGTCGCTTCACGTGGCTCTCACTTTTTCCCTTATAAGAGCAATGCTCATCATAAGTACAGCTGAAGGTTTGCTTCTGAGTGTGCATTCTCAATTTGTGTCTGAAATAAACACGATTACTTTAAATTGGAAATACACTAATGATAATCGGTAATCGTGAGAGTTTCTTGCAAACTCGCGCAATTTTATGGAAGCGATATGTTCTCTTCGTTAATTAGACCTTTTCGGCGTTGAACCACTGACATATATAATTAAAGCATAATGATAAAGATTTACGTATCCGATATACGGGCGCGATTAATACCATTAAATGAAAATTCCCATTGGAATCGAGCGAACGTTCGAAATTTATTGGAGCGAATCGAAGCATTTTATGAAAGTCTGATTAACGCTCAGGCGTTAATACCGGTCAACGCGGCCATTAACGCCAGATAAACTTTCTACGTTGAGGTAAAGTCAGTGTTAAGAGTATCTCTAACCGATGCTGTGCATAACGCGTAGATGTTACTGCGGTAATTGAAAGGAAAGAGATACGCGAGTTTGATGTCGAAAAAAAAGTTAGACGTGCAACAGACGAAAAGATATGTGTGTGTATAAAAATTCTCTATAAATTTTACTAAAATATTTCAACGTTGTATTCAATTTACGAAAAATGTTAGATTTACAGAGTAACAAACTGATTTATTACATCTGCGATAACATGCGAGCCTCACGTGTCCAACATCTGAATCGAAGATATCTTTATAATCATGCCGCGGTCCAAAGTATATACTTTTTCAGAGTGGAAGGTACAAGATCGCATCAGAGGTGTGTCCCTCTTTCTCTGTACTTTACGAAGTTCATCGTCGCAGTCGCGGCCCGGTGATTATGAACGATGTGATATGCGTGCGCGATATTACGAGGGAGCCGTTGACCGCGCGCGGCTACGTGTATATCAGGTTCGAGATGCGTGACACGTTTAATTAAAATCCCGCGTGATTTACTCCGCCGGGAGGAAGCGGGTGGACGAGAAAAGGGGAGAAAAAAAAGAGAGAAAGAAAAAGAGAGAGAGAGAGAGAAAGAGAAAGAACAAGAGAGAACGACGAGTGAACACACGCGGAAGAGAAGCGTCGGTGGAAGAGAGTCCGTGCGAGACACACTCTGCGGCTGCGTTGAGTTCGGCTCACGTAGGTAAGTACTCAATTCGCAATGAAATATCGCGGCGACCATCGCCATGCGCGGACGATCATAACGGGTTGCCCGCACTTAGCCGGCTGCTGCACGCAACTTCCGCTTTCGCGGTCCTCCAACCCCGATCTTTCTCTCACCGCCGCTTCGCCGTTTCTCTCATTCGTTCTCTCGTCCTCCTCTCCCTGTCGCGACATTCGCGTATTTCTTCTCTACTTCGGGAGAGACGTCGGTAGCGCGGGGGAAAAAAGCGCGGCATCAAACGAGGCGAAATTTATTAGAGGCGCTTCCCATGCCACAATGGTCTTAATAAGGCTTAATTTAAATCGAATCTCTCGCTTTCGCACGAATCTGTCTGTTGGAAAAGAGAAGATGTGATCGATCGCACAGATGTTACGAGAGATCGAATTTCGATCGAAGAAAAATAGTGGGGATTTGTCGAAATAGAATTTTCACATATGTACTCTGATTAATTAGTACGTTGCAACATGTGTGTGATATATGTGTATCATGTGATGGACATCCAACAGATAATCCGACAGATAATCATCGAGTCGTAAAGATTAATTCAGATACAGATTATCCCGTCGTAAATGTCCGAATCTTGAAATAATAACTGAGAGACTAAATCTGGAAGATAAAAGGCGAACGTACGAAAATTGCCAAGCGTACATCGCGTACCATGCCGCCGCCCGCGCGCAGAGATGCAATCAGATTTTCGATAAATTACTCTTCAAATTATATCCTCCCCCATTGTCTCTATCAATAATCCGTGAAGATTGATTCTTTCGCTGTCCGCGTCCTCGCAATTATGTATGCGTGGCGGCGCGCGCGACGCGAGTACTTGCGTCCTCGCAATTAATTCTCCGCTTCCTCGAAGGCATCGATCATACGCGGAGCCGTGAGCCGCGCGATTAATGGCGCAGGAATGCGTCGTTCCCGCTGGGGACCTCGATTAAAATTAATGTCAATAATATCGGCAATCCGAGAAGTCGTGCCGCAGCCTCTGCGAGATGGAGCCGTGGATTGCACGCCAACTGAATTGTTAAAAAGACTTTTGCGCGTCGAAGAACTGAGCTTTATCTTATTTCGTTTCGACGATTCGAGTTGAAATATCTATCGCGATAAAAAGTAGATATAATTAATCATTATTGCACTTCTGACGCAATTATCAGTCGATGTTTAATTTCTTCTTCTTCTTTTTATTTTTAACTATTATACGTTTTTTTTTTAACTATTATACGCGTGTTTTTATGTTGAAAGTTTTTGTCGCAAAATTAATAGTTCACGATTTATTCAACATTTCAAAGTTTTCTAGACTTCGACAATTTATTTCGTAAGATATGTCTTTATTTTTTGTCGATATCGGACTCATGTTTTTTTTGTACGTATAAACTTCATATCTGTTTTAAAGTAAGATTCGTAGAGTAATCATATGCGTACATTGCGTATAATTTAGCATTTTGTTTATACAATACTCATCTGTTTAATTTCATTGTGTTTTTACATACCTGGTTAAATCCTGCCTCGTCTTAGCGAAGTACAGGCACTCGGTACAATTGTGTATTTCCTTTTTTATGGTGTCGTGGACCAGCATTTGGTGTTTGTTCAATTCGTTTTTCGTGCGTAGGACGGTAGGGCACCCCGGTTGTCCACACTTGAATTTCTTACCGGCGTGTCGCAGGATGTGCTGTCGAAGGCAGTGTCTGTGTGTGCACATAACATATTGATATTACTGTAACATATATTCCACATCTTCGAACTTACATAATTTCAAAACACACGTGGGTAAGTCTCGTGACTTTCACTAGCAATTCCTACGTTTTACTACTCAGAAGTGAGAAAATATGAACACAGTCGCTATATTTTTCTTTCAGAGACTACCAAGTGTGAAAAAGTAACCTTTAAAATTAAAACGTCTGCATCTGGAAATTTAAACGCTTTTAGGAAATATTGTCTGAGGAAAATCATAATATATCTTATTCTTATATTCCATTTGTAACTTTTTTACTATCAAGAACAATCATATACTTTATAATATACATACATATATAATGTGTGTGCGATATAAAAATGACGTAAAACGTCTCGCGGTGGTGTCGCGATTTTTGGAATACCGGTATCGAGCGGCGCGACCATGTTGCGAATAATGATTTTGCGGCGGCTCGAGAGAGCGCCGCGCTTTCGTTAAATCTTCAACTTGTAATAAGACAGAACAATGGTCTCGCGTATGCCTGGTACGCGTGTGACCATCGGCCCGTTCGCACGCCGCGCGATCCGATCGCAGCTGTTGCATCTTATATCAAGTGTGGCTGGCGAAGCACAGGGCAAGGCACAACCGCACTTTAAATAGTTCCCGTCACGAGGTGACGATCTATACGGTTAGTGAACTTGCCATGTTGCGCTAAGTAAGTCAACAAGACGTATTGAGGGTCGGATCTAGTTGCGCGAACGCAAATCTTGCTTCCCCGCCGCGCTCGCGGAATTCCCCATCTTTTAAGCGCAAGTGAAATACGAGTGCAATACGGCTTACTTTATAATTAGATGGAAACGAACATTCCGCTCTCCGCATCGTTCGAAAGCAACTTGAATTGGCGGAGGCTGGGGCTTAAGGGGAAACTCGTAAATGCGATAAACACGTGGCGGTACTTTTAATTAACGGCTGTCTCGCGATTGCGACGATATAAATGCGCGTCGATTCGCTTCATCGCTTGACGTACTTTAAATCTAACAAATGTCATCAATGTACACCTTAATTGTAATCATACGTAGGTAAATAAAAAAATTAATATTGTATTAAAACTATTATAGCAAATTTAAAAGTGAAAATCGACGCATTTAATTTAATTTTAATTATATTAAACAAATTTTGCAAAAACTCTTCTGCTTACTATCATAATACAGCTTGCTGTTTAACAAAACAGTTTTGTATAATCTAATTGTAATGATTTTTTAAGACAATTTCGAAAGTAATGGACAAAAAAGATCAAAAAGATTCTAAAAAGAATTAGGGTTAACCCGACCACGCAGATATTAAAATCTGCGACGTGTTCGCAGTTGTTATTTTCCTTTACCGCGTATCTCTAGTAATCTCTGTCTTGCACTTCCGTCGACGGATCTCGAAGTCGGTCGTGACTGAAACGAAAAGGCCTCCGCGAAGAACAACGGATTTTTCGAGATGGCAGTTTAACGATATATCGGGAAAAGCTCGGATCACAGTGCACGTAAAAAAGAAAGGAAAGAATGAGACGAAACAGATCTGGGCCGTCCTAGAGTCAAACCGGCCTGTCCAATTGGCTACGCAAGTTGAGTTTTACAATGTCAAGATATACACGCCCTCGCACGAGCCTGCGGATGCGTCCTGCAGGGTCGCACCTGCGGCACAGGTAGTCTCGCGCGAGAGCCGCGTGTAAGGTGTAGCTATGGATACCTGCGGAGAGAAACAGGTATACTCGCTGCACACACGCGTGTTATGCGTCTCTCGCGCGTTTTCGCTTGCGTGCGAAGCGCACCACGAAGAAGCGACAACCGGATAAAGATAAGAGTCCTCGGAGGCGTGTGATCTTACTTCGTCATATCGGATTTCGGGCTTCCTTGGCGAAGATATCTCGCGATTGGCTAATCCAGCCATGTATCGCGGCTTCTGTTCGCTGTGCTGGCACGTTTCTTCGTCGGTATCTTTTTCGTAGAAAAGTGTAGAACGAAATAATCGAATTGAGACGAGTTTTAATATTGCGACGTGTCACGACAATATTTAGACGTGAAAATGTTCGAGATGCGACATTCTTTAGCAATCCAGAAATTTAAGAAAACAAATGCCACGTACAATGCAGATAAACAAATTTGTGGTAAACATGTGGGTGGATAAAGTCTCGCGTTTCGTTGTCGGGTGAAGATTCCTTAAAATATGCTCTGCCGAGATGTTAAACCCTTCCCAATGTTAAGCTGTTTGGCGCCATAATGTTTGGAAGTTTATGTCCAATGGGATTAAGGGTTTTCGGCTCTTTTGACTGTACACGTATTTTAGTTCTCGATTACACATGCATACACATACATATTTTATTATTGATACTTTCAAACAAAATCTAAATCCAAACACATAAGAAAAGTAAAGAAGCTAATAAATGCAAACAATTTATTAAATTCGAACATACATCAAGAATGATTTTCGATAAATATAGAAATTGCATATAAATGGCAAAACTTAGCAAATCAGTAACTTTTTGTATCAGATACATTTCTAATCAAATACAAGTTCCTGAATTTAATTGTAATTACAACCGCCAATTAGTACATTTGCTTCCAGCTTCTTGAGCTATCAAACAAGAAAATAAATGTTGATGCGCGACTCATTTCGTGCAATATTCTTGAAGTTCGCGAGAAAGATGCATAATTTAGTTAGTCATGGAAGCGGCCGTTTCCTATCATATGCCACGGAAGGAATAAAATTCTCGTTACAGTAAAATCAAAGAGACTGCTCGGGACTTGTGCAAACCGCTTCCTTGATAGGAATTAATGACAGGCGTGACTACATCGGAGTTTCTACGTGTAGCGGCCGTATAGAATCGGTTCAAGGACCGCTTCATGAAAGCTGTAATTGCACTGAATTATGACAGCCGAGGATGTATCCGAAGACAAGACTTTTCCGGTGGATCGACGTCGGCGATAAAAATGACAGCACAAACGATGTACGTGTATAAAGTCATATTTTTTCGCATCACACCGTGAGGAATAAATTCCTATCGCGATAATTCACTCCTGAGAAGAAAAAAAGAACTATGCTTGAATTATTTTTTACCCATGTTGAATAATCAAAAAGTCGCTATCATTAAACAAATATAGCGTATTAAACGTGTATTTTTTAAGTTTTAAAAAATGTTTCTTATATTTTATTTACTATTTAAATATAATTTTAGTTATGATAACTTAACAAATATCTATCGAGTCTCAAATGACCCTGCCATTACTAACGAAGAATCAATGTATATAGAAAGAGAGAGAAAGAGCGCAGAAAAAATATTTTTATCTTAGCTATTGATATTATCGATTTTCTTCAGTAACAGACTTACAACCAGTGATATAAAAGCTACTTTATTCTCAATAAAGAGAGCAGTTTCTGCGTGTGTATATGTGTGTGTGTGTGTGTGTGTGGATACTTGAAAAGAAATATATCTGTAATTTATTAAGGCTATATATTACATTCTTAGTACAAGGTCTTGCATGAAAAAATTCGTGCACTACGGACGTTTTTAATTTAAATGACAGAATTGTCCGACGGAATATATATAGTTTTCATAAAGCCGTTTATAAGCTTATGGGCAACATTTATACGAAAGCCTCAGCGATTAATTGATTTCAATCGGCCGCGCAAGACGTCGATCTCGCGTGAGAGAACTCAGATCTATTCAAAAATGTACAACCATCCATATCGATCGTCCGGTACAGCCGGCGCTTGAATTATGACGTTGAGAAATCCCGAGGCACGAGAGGTGAGCGTGCAACCCCGCGCGCTGGAATTCCGATAGAACAATATTAATATCAGCGCGCCGAGATGAAAGCGCGACGCGTGACACGTACGCACACACAGCGAGAACTAGCGATAATAACGAGATGAAGAAAAACAAGAAGAAAGAACAAGTCTTTTTCTCAGATTTTTTTCAGAGGAATGTTGCGAGCGTGACAAGCGGTCGTTAAGAGGATCTTCGGTTGTTCCGATTGGGCAAACGAACGGCGGTCACCGGCGGCGGATGATTTAGCGCGACGTTCTCCGTCATCTCTTGAAATACGTACCGAACTGCCGGCTTACAGAACCGACCGCCATTTAAAAGTCTAATTCACGTCGGCGCGTGATCGTCGTTATATCCGCGTCAATAAACGACCGCGGTGACGCGCGAGGAGAAACGATCGTCTTGCGGGTGAGGTGAGCGCGATTTCCGGGCGGTCTCTCGCGGGCCGCCTCATCTCTTCAGGGTCACGCGATCCCTTCGGAGGATCGGATCGTTGCGGCCGTTAACGGCCTGACGACTTTATAGCGCTCCGCGCGAGTTTTTAACGCTTTTTATTCCGCCCGAGTCCTTGTGGCAGTAAAAGCGCGATGACGGGCGAAAGCTAAGGTTTCACTTAACTTCGCGCGCCCGTTGATCGGCATTTGTGGCCGCACGTAGCACAAATGATCTTTGTGTCGTTCCAAAGTGCGAGCTAATAAGTTTGATCGATTTACAGAATACAATGAACAGATATATAAAAATAATTCTCTAGTATTTTTATCTTTCAATACTAAAAATAGGTTAAAAGTTTGAAGTTTTAAATGTGTAATAAAATATATTGAATCTCTATAATTAATTAGATTTTGTCATCAATTGGATATTGCGTTATGATTTGCGAAATTGATACTAGCGTTGTTAATTAATTTAATATACTTATATTTTTGTTTCTATCAAATTGACATATTTATCTTATTTGTCAAACGTCGATTTCCCGCACGTCGAAACATTGCGCATCATTGGCGAAGAATTCAACGAGCTTCTCTTCCTAATTACGCGAGTCGTGTAACCGGTTTATCATCTCATATCAGAAATTAGCTCGAACAAATCTAATATATATGTTTGTTGCAACCGCGTGCCGAAGGCACGTAGGTAACTGTGATACCCCGTAAAAAGACGCGAGTAACATTTACGGTTTCGAATAAACGGTAATAATTTTACAA